GTTCTTCCATTCCCCTCTCCCTTCTTGTATATTGCCCCCCTCCCCAGCACCCAAACTATCCTGTGTCTAATCCCTGCCCTGTGCTCCACATTCCCCTCCCTTCCCTCACCCAGTCCCAACATCCCAGCAACAGCAAAGAATCCACTCTCCTTCAATATGGGTTATTTTCCTTAGTCTTTTACAGTGCAACTAAACTTTTTTTGATGCTGCGTGCCTTCCAGTAGATTCTGACTCACAGCAAGCCTATGTGACAAAGTCGAACTACTCTCATAGGGCCTGTTAAGCTGCAATCTTAACAGAAGAGCATCAGAATTTTCTCCCACAGAGTGGCTGGTGGGTTCTAATGGGCAACCTCTTGGTTAGGAGTCCAGTGTTTAACCATTGCACCTCCAGAGCTCCTTCCACTAATCTTAAGGACCCAAAAATAAACAAAATTGCTATCCCTCTGCAAAGTTAGAGCTGGCATTGATCTCCTGGCACTTTCCACTTGTTAATCTAATCTGTGGTACTTATTGAGGGCCTTTATATTTGGTGCTGTAGGATAAGCGTTGGACTGCTAACCTCAAGGCCAACATCTCAAACCTACCAGATGCTCTTTAGAAACCCTAGACAGGGTCGTTATAAATAGGAAATGACTCAGCGGTACTTAACAGCAACAACAACAACATATGCAAAGAACTGTACCAAGTGCAATGACACATGTAAAATTTTGTAAGGGTAAGATTCCTGCTTTCATAAGCTCACAATCTAGTAGCTTCAAATAATGATACTATAAAATATATTAACATAGGCTCATGTATCTTTAATCTCTCCTTGACTTCCTCAATTTCGGACTCAAAGATGCTTAATAAATGCTTGCCAAGTAACAATGATCTCCATTTTCTTCATTCCATCTTATTTACTGTCCAAAGGGACTCCAATAGTTAGTTGCTTTTTTAATTATTTTTCTTTTTTCCCCTTTTTGTGTGAAAATATACACAACAAAGCACATACCACAACAACTTGTATATATACAATTCATGCATTGGTTATATTCTTCAAGTTAAACCATCTTTCTCACCAACTTTTTTGAAAGTATTTCATCATCACAAACAAAAATTCACGGTTCCCTAAGCTTATCATATACCTGTTAGAGGCACTATTGCCAATTTGATCACACATAGATAATTTTAAAAAGAATGTACTTATTTTATAATCAGGCTAAACATACTCTTTGGAGATGATCCAACAGAATGCATGAATTACTGAGCATCATTAATAACACACACAAATAAAGTTTTGCTGAAAAATGATTACAGTAATAAATCTACAAGGAATTTTCAGAAAGTCAAGCTTTATTTAGAAAAGGACATGGAGTGACAGATATCATTGCTGATATGAGATATATGTTGACTGCATGCAGACAATACCAGAGAGGTGGTATTTTTTATTGAGTACACAAAGGCATTCAATTGCCTGTATAATAGCAAATTAAGGATAGCATTTCAAAGAATGGGAATTGCAGAACATTTCATTGTACATATGCAGAACCTCAATATATGAGAAGCAGTCGTTCAAAAAAAAAAACAAAAAAAAACCCAAAGATACATGTGTGATTTCAAATCAAGAAAGGTGCCTGTTAGAATTGTATCATTTCACAATACATATTCAATATGCATTCTGACCCCCAAAAAAAACTTGAGAAACTGGACTATATGGGAAGAAGGCTCATTAACAACCTGTGATATGCAGATGACACAACCTTGTTTGCTGAAAGTGAAGAGGACTTGAAGCACTTATTGATTACAACTCAATATACAGCGAATAAGATCTTTGCAACTAAACCAATAAGCAATATCATGATAAACAGAGAGAAGACCGAAGTTGTCAAAGATTTAATTTTACAATCAGTACCCATGGAAGCAGCAATCAGTAGATTAAACAACATACTGCATCTGGTAAATCTGCTGCAAAATATCTCTGTAAAGTGTTTACAAGTAAAAATGACACTTTAACAATTAAGGTATGCCTGACTCAAGCCATAGCATGTTTAATTGCCTCATATGCACAGGAAAACTGGACAGTGAATAAGGAAGGTCAAAGAATAATAGAAAAATGATTTACTGTGTTGGTGAAGAATACTGAATATGCCATGGACTTCCAGAAGAACAAATACATCTATCTTAGAGGATACACATGTCTCACACACTGTGGATGTGTTATCAGAAAGGATCAGTTGGAGAAGAACACCATGCTTGGGAGAGTAAAGGATGAGAAAAAGGAGGAAGACTCTCAAGGAGATGGATTGATGTAGTGAATGCAACTGTGGACTTTAGCACAGCAGTGATTGTGGGGATAATGCAGGACCAAGCAGTGTTTCATTCTGTTGTACACAGGATCACTATGAGTCAAAATCAACTCTGTATCACCTAACAATAACATCATTATTTGTTTCAAAGGTGACTCTGGGCATCATTCTGGCTCAAGGTTTAAAGTTTCTTCAGGGACTATTTTCAGGGGTAATCCAACCTTAATGGCTCCAGAAAGTCTGACAGCCATGAGAATTTGAAATTTTGTTCCTCATTTCCTCCACTGTTCAGGACTTTTCTATAGGACTGTAAATCTGAGCATTCAGTAATGGTAACTGGGTACCATCTAGTTCTTGGCATCTCATGGCAAAGGAAGCAGTTGTCTATGTATGTGTTTTGAAACATATCCCATATCCTCCACTGGGGAATTGAGTATTTTCCATGATTTTTAAATGTATACCCAGAATTATTGACATGAAGAATCTTTGTATTAATAATTTATAATGACCTTATCTCCATCTATGTTTTAGGACAGTTATGTGTTTCTACAGAGATTCTACATGACAAAATAACTCCAGAAATATTAACTCATCTTGACAAACCAACCATGATCTAACAAGAGACTTCTTGTCTTTCACCTATTTCACTTGCACTGCACACCAAAATTAAAATGAATTGTGCAAGTCCCCCTCTTCATCCCCAGCCAAACATACAATTCAACATCATCATTCCCAGCTACATAGAAAAAATAAACAATATGGATGTGACATTTTTACTGTCTTGAAACAACACAGACATGGAGATGCTCACATATCATAATTAAATTCATGTGGATCTTTGAATACCTGAGCTTCAAATTCCATCTGGCTCTGTAAAATAAAAGTATTCAAGTTAGTAAGACTTCCCAGAAAGTTAGAACAAAACTAAGTATTTACATGCCTTTTTAATGTTTGTGAAGAAAGACAGACAACCTAGAGAGAGAGTGGGACTTCAGAGCTTCTGATTTTCATTCACATGATGCTTGGAATAGTATCAGCAATGAATTATTATTCTAAGCACCATGCTTGGTTCTTAGCTCAAGGAGCTCTGGTAGCATAGTGGTTACGAATCGGTCTACGAACCACAAGGTAAGCAGT